GTGGCCGTGGCTGTGGCAGACACCGTTCGCTCCTTAGAGGGCTTTGGGTTTGTTACGGAGAAATTGTGTGGTCCTAGGGAGTTTCTGTCTGTTCGGCCGACGGTTTAGGGTTTAGGGTTTAGGGTTTAGGGTTTAGAGGGTTCAGAGCGTCGGACTTGGTGCTTAAGATTTTGGGCACAGGGGTTGGGGATTTTGGGCTTTTCGGCCATTGATCTTCACATTTACGTTTCAGAGGCTGGGTTGGGGGCTCCAGAGTTTGCGGGCATGGGGTGTGGGGTGTGGGGGTTATTAGGGTTTAGGGTTTAGGGTTTAGGGTTTAGGGTTGTCAGGATTTAGGAGTGTGGGCCATATCCACCATCAAGCGAGAAAACGAAGCAGAATGTATCTGAGCTGGCATTCAAATTCGAAAAATTATCGAAGAATAGGCACCTGAAAGGGAGAATAAGGCAGTTTTAGACTTTCCCAAGGTGCTGCCTAGTTATTCGCTGAATAGACCTCGAACGACTGAGCTGCAAGCGGCTATGGCAGTGGGCAAAGTGCCAACAGCCTGGCGAGGGAGGATGAGAGCTTGTGTTCTCTAATTGCTGGTTCAAAACTCTAGTATGGGCAGGAACCCCCTACAATAGTATAGGTAATTGTTTACTTATACTATAATTAAACTAAGGAACCCCCCAAAATATACTTACTTACTTATTCTATAATTATAATAAGGAACCCTCCAAAATAGTATCGGTAATTATTTACTTATTCTATAATTAGAAGAAGGAACCCCCCAAAATAGTATAGGTAGTTATTTAATTTACATATACCATATTTAGAAATAAGGAACCCAACCTTCAAAATAGTATAGATAATTATTTACTTATAAAAGTGTTTAGGGGGGTTCTGAGGCTCGGGCTTGAGGGTTAGGGCTTGATAGGTTTGAGGGTTTCGGGCTTCGGGCAGTTCAGCTTTGGGGCTTCGGGTTTTTTTTTTTTAGGCGCCCCTTTTCTCGTCCGCCACAGCCTCCAAGAAAGCCCTATTGGGCAGCCCAACCCTCAAAAGAAAGTAACTCAACCAGGCTTCGGGGTTTAGGGTTTAGGCGCGTTTAGGGTCGGGGGGTTGAGCGTCTCGATTCTTTGAAGGCTTTAGAGCAGTCTCAGAAGAGACATATAGCGGTGACAAAGGGCTTCATGCAGTCCCTATATATGATTACTAATTACTCTAACGCGTGCTTGTCTTGGAGGTTCTAGGGTTTAGAGGTTTGGGCGCGGTGCAAGAGAGTTTCCGTAGATTGGCAGTACCTGGGCTCAAAGGTCCTTACCGTCGGGATCCTTGCGCTGAGGGTCTGTTGCTTAATTTACTTCATGACAACGGTGCTGAGTTCCCAACCCAAAACTAGCTAACGGTAGGCCTATACTTACTCTGAGAGGTGAAACGGTCACCTGCTCGGCCGCTTGGGGTCTAGAGTGCTTCAGGGAGATCCGAGATTGGTGTTTGAGTAGAGGGAAGTAGGATGCATGTTGCAGTTCGGGCTGTGGGTATCACTGTAGATCACGGTTTAAGTTTAGGAGTGTCCAAAGCTGGCGGTCTTAGTGTTTCCGCCTGACCTGGGCCCCTCTCGGCACAGGGATTGACGAAAGCAGACGAAGACGAGAGTTTCCGAAAATGAGGGCTTAAGGCAATAATTAGGCGTTCAGGGCTTTAGCACTTATACGGCTTCATAACCGGAGACAATGCATTCCTTGGTGAAAACACCCCAACAATGCCCCCGAACCCTTCACTCCCTAAGCCAACAGGCTTCGCAGCCAGCACCCCTCCACTTTACTCCTCGCAGGAACCTTTCAACAAAGGGGCAGAACCCGAGTCTTCAAGAGCTCTACCCTCTACTTCCCTTACGAGATCAGCAAAAACTTGCTTTTTTTTGCGGAGTGCCCTATAAAAATAAGCCAAACGCTCAAGAAATGGAAAAGGTCAACAAGTACGCGAGACCAAGAGCTGGAGGGCACCCCAAAATCGAGCCAAGCAATTCGGAGCACCTCAACCCTAAACCCTAAACCCTAAACCCACCTCGGGTGGTCGAACGGGTGAGCTGGGTGAGGGCCTCTCCGTAGGGACGAGCACCTGAGTCCACTGCTGTCCTTTCTCTAAAAAGGAGCTGGGTAGGAATTCAGAGTTGTGGGGTTCCGGTCGAGAGAGTTGGGGTTTGGGGCATTAGGGTTTAGGATTTAGGGTGTTTTTGCTTTTGGGGGTTTTAGGGTTTAGGGTTTAGGGTTTAGGGTTTAGGGTTTAGGGCACAGGTAACCAGGCCTGTAATGAGGGTTTTTTTGAAGCGGCTGCCAATAGGTTGTCCAGTGGATGCAATTGGCCATTCGCTGCGGGAACACACCCGGAAAGCTCCGCGGCATCTATTTCAAGAGTAGGTCTACAGAACTTGGAGCATACCTAGCACCCAAGACCCGACACCCAAGCCTCAGGCCCTATGCCCGCAGACTCTGAACCAGCCCTAAACACCGAACCTTAATACCTAAACCACGAAATCCCAAAAAAAACCTGAGGCTCGGAATCCACATCCTGAGTTGAACCGCAGCTCGCGGCACTAGCTTGGAGTTGTCGGGTTGAGGGTTTTGGGTTTAGGGTTGAGGGTTTAGTGTTTAGAATTTATACTTCAGGGTTTATTTGGGGTTGAGGGTTGAGGGTTTAGGGTTTGGGGTAGGAACCCTAAACCCTAAACCCTAAACCCTAGGCTTTTGAACTTTGGGCGTTCAAGGATGCTTCGCGGGTTTAGGCCGGCAATGTCTCGGGAGCTAGGGCTGCGGGCCTTGCTGGGTGGTTCCAGGTTTAGGGTTTAGGGTTTAGGGTTCAGGGTTTAGGGTTTAGGGTTTAGGGTTTAGGGTTTCCCAATAATCTGACGCTTTCAGCGAGCCTAAAAAAAACAAAAACCAGGGTTCAGGGTTTAGGGTTTAGGTCCTCGTGCTCAGATGCCGGGAACTCTGGGTGAAAGGAAAACCCTTTACCCCAAACCCTGAGCCCTGAACCCTGAACCCAAGCCTAAACCCTAGACCCTAAACCCTAAACCCTGAACCCTAAACCCTGAACCCCTACGCCCCAAACCCTAAACCCTAAGTGCAGTCGAGGAACGGTGCCCTCCTGGCAGGTTGCTTGCCGACAAACACACTTTTGAGGGGAACCCAAGGTTCAAGTTTGGCATTTCTTTTGGCATTTAGATTTAGGGTATACTTTTAATTTTGGGCTTCGGGCTTTTTATTTTGGGATTTAGGGTATAGGGCTTTTGATTTGGGATTTAGGCCTTGGGGCTTTTTATGTTGGGATCTAGGGTTTAGGGATGATGCTGGAATTATATAATCCCAAACTGGCAAAAGAAGATGGAGGATGCAGAAGAGTACCCCCTGGGCTGGAAAGCTTTAAACCCTGAACCCTAAACCCTAAACCCTAATCCCTAAACCCTAAACCCTAAACCCTAATCCCTAAACCCTAAAACCCTAAACCCTAAACCCTAAAACCCTAAACCCAAAACCCTAAACCCCCTGGGCCGGAATTCTTTCTGGGTTGTAGGCTTTCTCGGACCTTAGGTCTTGGTTTCAGCGGCTGGTGTCTTCCTGCGTTCTTTTTTAGACCTCGAGAAACTACGGTGGATGATAGAAATCCTGCGTTACCTTAAGGACCCTAAGCCATGGGAGCTATGGCATAAGTCCTTATTATGGTTAATGCAGGATTCATATCATCAACCGTATGACCCCCGAGTATCAGGCCTTCCTGAGTACGAACGGACGACAGAACCACACACGGATATGGGGTTTCCGGCCTATGAGTTGAGGACTTCGGGAATTCTTCATGAGGGTTGTGGAGTGTTGGTTGGGTTCCAGACTTGCTTTTTGAGGGGAACCCAGGCAGAGGCGTGAGATTGTAGAGCGGTTGTTAAAGTTATCAACCCTAAACCCTAAGCCCGAATTCTGCTGGCAAAACCCACCGGACACCCTCATCACCAAGCCCATCCTAAATTCGAGCTCAGCCCTGTAGGTCTCTAGAAGCCACAAGGCAACCCCCGGTTAAAGGAAGCTACAGGTGGGGAGTTTAGGGTATATAGGGGCTTAAAATAAGGCTTCCATAACCTATATAGACCTTCTATAAGGCTCCTATAACGGTAACTACCCACCTGAAAACGTCCTAGACCTGGTAGCCGGAAATTCTGCCCAAGGCGACCGTCGGTGAAGATCGGGCGCGGCGACTGCGTGCTTTCCTCCATCGAGCACAATGGGACGTCAGTGAAAAGGGTCGAGAAGCCCCAAACCTCTGTGATTGGATCGCTGAGGGGTTTTAGGGTGAAAGGCAACTTCGCGGACATAATCACTACACTAATGTAGGGGCCTTAATGATTAGAATAGGGTTTTGGGGCCCATTACACCATAATTATAATAAGGAACCCCAGAATAATGTAGGTAACTATTAAGGCCCCTGCACTACGGATGTGGAATTTTCTACAATAAATCTCTGGCGACGCTAAGGAAGACTCTCACAAACTATTCACGCTCCTCAGCCGTCCAGCATCCAGCCGTCCCGAGAATGGGGTTTAGGATTTAGGGATTGGAGTTTGGGGCTTAATATCCTTGTTCCTGTAAGGATAAAGGAAAGGGATTGCCAGAACTCTTGTCCCATGATCCAGTTTTCTGGGACCCGACACTATAACATGCCACAGAGAAAAAAAAAAAGGCCGCTAGGGGTTAAGCAAGGATATCATTTCTGAAACCCTAAACCCTAAACCCTACACCCTAAACCCTAAACCCTACACCCTAAACCCTAAACAATAAACCCTAAACCCTAAACCACAAACCCTACACCCTAAAACCC